ATCCCAAGTACTCAGTCGTGCTTGAAGGAGTGTAGTAAAGTTTGTTGGCTTCAGTTTGCCCGAGCTATTCACGTTACATAAGGTCTTTTCCCCCTTTATACCCCCCCCCCGCGCCCCCTCTTTCATTTTGCACAAAAGATTTCTCAAAACACACACACACACAAACACACACACACAAACACACACACACAAACACACACACACACACACACACACACACACACACACACACACACACAAACACACACAGCATCAGCGCGGCATGGCAGCCGTCCAGAGAGGGGCTCCAGTGTCGCTCTGTTTCAAAGAACCCTTTGCTGTCCTTTTGAAGCTGGAACCCCGGCAGCAGTGGAGCAGAAATGGCCAGCTCTGATATGAGTTTGTGCCTCAGTCTCCACACTGTGAGAAAAGGCCTGCAGAAGTTCCAATAAAGATAACAACAACACAGCCTGTAGACGGTTCAGGTTAACATGCAGAACAGGTGCGACAAGTTTTTGAAGAGATTTTTCTCACGCTGAGGTTATAGCTCAAAGAATTTGGAACAGGAAGCCTTGTTGTTGCAACCTCCCTGGGGAAAGCAGATAGTCATACTCGTAAGCTTCTGACAAAAACAATGACAAACCCAACATGGTACCAAAAGCCCAGTTGAAAAACTGGATGAACTTTCAATCAAATCAAATACGTATTACCCATATATACAGTCTATGGTATTACCCTTAACTATTTCTAAAACCACACATTGTGAAAGTGACCATATTTCAAGTTTCACATAGACTGTACTAAAGTCTTATATAAAAGAAACTGTTTCAGATTACTGACCCATTTTCTTTTCAATTCAAAGAGCAGGATGTTTTGCTGTAATTCATCATCCCAAAGCTCAATCTGTTTCAGAATGGATAATGTGTTCATCTCTGTGTTGATGAGGCACACATTCAGTGAGGTTTGTACTGTTTATACTGAAGTGAAGTCTCACATTGATTGCTCTGCATGAATCTGCCAAATGTGTTTCCACTGTTTCAATAACTGAGAGCTCTCCATGTGTGCAGAGACGGAGACACAGAACAGAAACACAAAGTGTAAGAACGATCAGTCTGGGAAATCAGGGCAATGTTTTATTTTACAGTTCTGTTGTTCTCGGATGTTTTTTGAAGTATTCAGGAAAACACATATCTTCTACACATATCTCCTGAACTTCCCCACTCAATCTATCAAGACCCGAGCAGTTATATTAGAAGTCCAAGGTAAGGCACGGGCCGGCGCATGTCGCTCAAAGGAATTCCTCGCCATATGAACTTTGACCCTTAGAAAGTAAAAGTGAAGAGGCACAACGTGTCAACTCCCTTAGGATAGGTCTGGGGAACAGGGGTAGGAAAAGAGAAGTAAGAAACAGAGGAAGAGAGGCACAACGTGTCCACGTACATGCACTCTGCTAAAATAGTCTGAGGGAAAGGGGTGAAGAAATACAAAGTAAGAAACTGAAATTAAAAGGCACCACATTGCGTAAATGCTTCCTCTTAGAATAGGGTGGAAATTATGAGACAGGGACACAAGTGAAGAGGGACACAAGTGAAGAGGGACACAAGTGAAGAGGGACAAAAGTGAAGAGGCACATCGTGTCTAACCTTGACGTAATTGCACTTCCCAAAGGGAAAGAAAGTAAAAAGTACAAGCAGAGAGGTCCAACGTGTCTACGTAAAAGCACTCTCCTGAAACAGTTTGAGGGAAAAGCGGTGAATAAAATAAAAAACTGAAATAGAAAGTAAGAAGTATAGGTAGAGAGGCACCACGTGTCTACGTAAATGCACTCTCCTAGAATGAGTTAAGGGAAAGGAGTAATTATCAAAAAAGTACAAGAGGAAAGGCCCAACGTGTCTGTCTACGTAAATGCACTCTCCTAGAATAGTTTGAGTAAACGGGATAGTAAGAAAGCAGTAAGAAACATTTTTTTAATTTTCTACCTATTTTAGAGACTTTCCCTGAGAGAATGGGTCCATCTCAAACTATGTCAATATTTATCATTTGTTTTTTATTGGGAACTTGCTTTTCCTTACATGACGCGATATAAATACACATCATGCTCACCTGTAGACATATTTAAACTTTTGCATGTTTACCTCACATGCTGCTCAATAACCAGGAAAGTTGGCTCTGGAAAGTTGAGATTTGTATTTCTAATTAATGAGGCAAATAATCTTCTTATTAAAAGGCGACAATTATTGTCAGTTGCAGCCCCTTTTTTAGTTGTTTGTCTACATGGCTTGTGAATGTTTTTCTAATGATTTCATATGTTCTTTGTAAAGGCCTGTCAAAGAGAAACGCAACACTTTGTCTTTGTTTCTTTAAGAACGGGCTCCTAACAATACACCTGTCTCTGCATGCGCATTACCTGTGGAACGCACACAAACAAAACAAGTTGAAGTCAATGACACTGGTATTTCAGCTCTTTGAGTTGCGAAGCAGCACAATCAAAGGAATGCAGCATGTATGTGTCAAACTGTGTGTGTGTGTGTGTGTGTGTGTGTGTGTGTGTGTGTGTGTGTGTGT